GACTTAGCCATTTTTAAACACACAGCTGCGGGGCATCAGGCACATTGACATAGCCGTCCTCACCATCATCTCCACAACTTTCCATCTTCCCAAACTGAGGCTCTGTCCCCATCGAACACTCACTCTCCGTCCCCTCCGCAGCCCCTGGCCCCCCACCTGCTCTCTGTCCCTGTGGACCTAACCCCCCAGGGGCCTCCTGGGAGTGGAGTCCCACAGGGTCTGTCCTTTCGTGTGTCTTTTTTCCTAAAGGAAGTTGCAATGCCCGTTCATCATAGAGCATCCAGAAAAGTACAAAGAATGGATGAAACTGGTCCGCGTTCCCCGTGGGCCTCCCTCTCCCAAACTGCCCTGGGTAACACTTTGGGTGTGACCCTCTAAGGCCTTAGTCCTCCTCGCAAAAATGAGGCTTTATGCATGGCTGCAACACCCCCTTCTCGTGCTCCATAGGCCAGGCAGTCCACCGTCCCAGCTCACAGCACAGAGCCCTGCTCACCGCTGGCTGGTAAAGCTGCTGCCAGAGGCATCTGTGCCAGTCCTGGCTGGAGAGCTGTGCCACTGCAAGCCATCTTCCCAGCTAAGCACTGGCGTGTGTCTGGACTGGCCCTTTGCATGGGATGCACTCAGACTTGGAGCCTTAGGCAAAAGCACAAGGTTTAAAGGCTTTTGAGCAGAGCAACTTCCAGATGGGGACCTTTTCCTAGAAATTCTTTGAAGAATCTCTTTCCTCACGATAACCCCTTTCCACTTTGCTCCAGGCTTAGGCATCCTGAGTGCCGCTGAGGGCAGAGTAGAAGACACAACAATCCCCGGCCAGGGGCGTGAGCCCCGTAGGGTCTCCCGGCACCGTGCCTCAGGTGAGTGGCTCCTTAGTCAGCCGTCCTGGCAGCTCTGGAGGAGCGCTCGGGCCAAGGTGCGCAGCATGGTTCTGGACTCAGCACTCCAGCTTCTCTCTCACCCTGTGTGATCGGCTTTCATGATCCCCAGTCAGATGAGGACACTGAGGGTCAGAGAGGGCCCCAGCTGTGAAGGGCCAAGCAGGGATTCGGACCCAGCCTGCTATTTTCTGGAGCCTGATCTCTGATCCTGCCTGTCCAGCATGACAGGGGTACAGGCAGGCCCTGCTGAGTGTCAAAGGAAGGGCCATTCTCTACCCCTCTACTCCAGGAGGCTTCTGGGCCCATCAGCCAAATATGGGGCTCAGCCAACAGCCACTTGGGGACCTCACAGCCCAGTGCCATTGGTGGGCCGTTCTTGGCAGTTACATTTCATCCTCCCAGTTTTAGAACCTTCTGGAAGCTGGACATAGAGCAGAGTCTGGGTCTTTTGTTTATTAAATTGCAAAATACACATAACCATTCCCAAGCACACAGCTGGGGGGCATCCGGCACATTCACATGCCGTGTAGCCGTCCCCACCATCATCTCCAGAACGTCCCATCTCTCCAAGCTGAGACTCGGTCCCCACTGAACACTCACTCCCTGTCCGCTCCCTGTCCACGTCATTCCCCATCCGCTCCCGCCCCGGGCCTCGCCCTCCGCTCTCTGTCTCCGCTCTCTGTCTCTGTGGATCTGACGCCTCAGAGAACCTCCTAGGAGTGGAGTCCTCTTGTCTGGGCCTGGGTCTTGAAGCTCTTCCTGCCAGCAGGGCCAGGGTACTGAGGACAGAGGGACAGGCTGAGACCAAGCGACCCTGGGGGCCTGGAGATCCTCTGGGCCAGAATTTTCCCACACTGGCTTGCCAGCTGGTGTTTGGGCAGATCACAGATGCAGGACGCCCCCAGCAGTGGACAGAGATGAATGAGGCCAAAGGGCTCAGGGATTGGTGACCGCAGTGGGTCTCAGGAAGCCAGCCCACTCCAGTCGGCCGCTGTGATTGCCGTGGAACACGGACAGCCCCCATGTCCCTGCTGTCCAGCTGGGGTGGACCCCGCCGTGCAAAGGCCCCTCTGGCTCTGGCTCTGGCTCTTAACCCTCCTCCCCTGCCAAGCCCGTGATCAGTCCGGCCAGCCACCTTGCTGTGGGTTCACCCATCAGTCCTTTATTCATTCAACGAACGTGAGCACCAAGCTGGGTGCTGGAGGCTGGGGAGGGAGGCTGTTCCTGTCCTCAGGAGCTCTCAGCCACCAGACACCTGGGAATCTGTGCACCGTGAGGGAGCGTGTGGGGGCATTTCCCAGGGCGGCCCTCAGTCGGGTGTGCCCCTCAGGCCCACGCTCAGCTGCCGGCACTGGGGCACAGGACCAGGGCCCAGGCAGGAGGGCCGTGTGGCTCCCCAGGAGCCGGCCCAGGTGCAGGTCCGTCCCTGCGTGCCGCGGCCACGGCCGCTCTCACCTTCTCTCCCTCTCTCGGCTGCCCCCCCCTCTTGCTGAAGTCTCACAGAAAAACACCAGAAGGATGGAAAATAGTTCTTATAAAAGACAGAAGGCCCCCAAGTTGCTCGCTCCTAGAAAAGCTGCCAGAGACAAAGGTAAGCTTTGTCTTTCGGGGCCCCAGCAGGGCTTGGGGACATGAGTCTAGGGCCCCGCTCACTCGGTGGACACATGGCTTCCGTTCCTGGAGCTGGGCTGGGGGCGGGGTGGCAGGGGGGCTGCCCTGCACGGTGGGGGCAGAGTTGGTGTCTGCACTGCAGACAACCACAGACTGGCATCACTGGGGCGGCGGATGGTCTCAGAGGCACAGGGCCGTCCCTTGGGATGTGAAAGTCCTTAAAGCCCCACGTGGAGTGAGCGGCCCATTCTGCACTGCTCAGTGTCTGTAACAGAAAGTTTGTAAGGACACAGAGCCCTCAGCTGCGAGCCGGCCTGTGCCTGGGGACGCCCGGGGCGTGAGCGGCCCTGCAGCCATTGCTGGCAGGTCTGTTTGCTTCTTTGTTCCACGGCATCACTTGACAAGCTGTTGCCATTTTGCTGCCTCTGCTGCGGGCAGCCTGGTGGAGGAATGGGCTTCTGTCGGCCAGGTTGGGGCTGAGAATTCCAGGCAGCAAGCCCGGAGCTGGCCTTTCCCTGAGCACGTGGTGGTAGGAGGGGCCCTGGATGTTGCCCGCTTTCTCCGACCCCTTCCCCGCAGGGGTGCGTCTGTGACAGGCAGGTTCATAAGCACGCCCCAGGAGAGTGCTACTAAGTGGAGTGGGCCCTCGGTCACGGAGGGATCTCTAATTCGGGCGTCTTCCCTGAGGCTTGGGCATGGTGTTGGCAGCCTGCAGACCCAGCTGCCCAGCCTCGGTACAGGTGACGGAGCTGGTGGGGTGAACCGGAGCGGGGCCCTGCCCTAGGGCTGCTGTGGGCGTGGGTGTGGGGACCAGCGGGGGGCAGCATTCTCATCTGCAAGGTTCTCTGCGGGTAGGCAGAGTGGCCGCTCTCGGTGCCTGTCTTGCGTGTGCCGCGCACTAACGTAGGGACCTTAGCTCGCGCGTCCTCTCTGGGCTCCTCTGGGGAAGGTGGGCTGGCTCCTGTTTGGTAGAAGCTGGGACTGACTCATAGGCTCAGCAGGTGAGCGGGTGGGCCCGCCCGTCCGCTGCTCGTGGCCCTCCCTTTGGGTCTGGGCTCTGGGGCCACCACACCACAGGGCTTGAGGACGCCGCTGAGCGCTCCCGTCTAGGAAGCCTGCACACTGGGGAGGTGGGCTCTGCAGGACCCTCGGTCTTGGAGTAAGCAGCGCTGAGCCTCAGCCTCCTCCTAGGGCATGAGACCCCAGCCCTGGATGAGAGCGGGCAGTGCCCAAGTGCCATTATTCCCACCCCACATCACCAGACACCCACTCTCTCTGCTCTGGGGGAGCCGAGCTTCTGGGGGAATGAATCCGAGTCCCCCTTCCTGGCCTGGGGCAGGCCCGGGAGCTCGGTGGGGAACCTCGAGCGGGGCCCTGGCCCTGGCGCATGTGCGTTTATTGAGTGGCCAAGGTGCTGCAGGAGAGGAGGGAAGCCGCTCCTGTACCTGGAGAGGGATGGAAACCGGGAGACCCGGAGAAGGTTCCAGAAGGCCTGAGGAAAATGAACAACATATAACAATTTTCTGCATCATTGTCCCCCCTCCCTCAGCTTTTCCATTTGTTTTATTTTAATGGCTCCCTTGAAAAATGACCGGCTCTCTGCCTGACACTGGGTCAGAAGGGCGCGCCATGGGCCACATTGATCACCGTAGCCACGTGTCACCTTGGTGGGGTTGGCCATTAGTTTCTGTCAGCAACAAAGTCACATCTGGGCTAAGGAGAGATGAGTTTGGGTTCAGAGGTCAGAGCCATAGGACCTGGGAATTGGATGAATTAGAAATTTGCTGTAGTTAACAAAAAATTAAATCACGATAGTTATGAAATCTTCATCCATCCCGGCCAAAGGAAAATGAAGCCCGGTATTTAATTTCAGATTATACCACCTCACTTTGCATTTTTTATCATAGATTAGGTCGGCCTGGAGCTCTGACAGGGCACTTGGGGACTTCATCCATTCCCACAGATTAAAAATCCTCTCGTAAAAAAATTAATTGCCATTCAACTGCTCAGCAGGAGAAACGAATGTGCCCTTCAGGACCCATTTATTGAGCCTGACCCTCCGGCGGGCTGATGGGGAGGCTGAACTGCCCGCGATGGAGGGACCTGCGGCGGGGGTGCTGAGGGGGCCCCGGCCGGCAGGCAGCCCCCTCCCCACAGGGGGGTCCCCGCGCAGTACCCCCCACAGCAGGGTGGAAGGCAGTCAGCTTTGTGCAGTGCAGGGCAATAGGGACCAGGACGGATGGAGCCCCTCCCTGGCAAGCCCACCCCCAGTCCCGCTCAGAGCCCAGAAGCGGCCAGGTGGACAGTCCCGCCTCGGCCCTGCCTTTGACTCGACCCTGAGCCGGCAGAACCCCGACCCTTGGGGCCCAGCTCCTGCGGGGGTGGTGACCTCTCTGCTCTTTCATCCTGGTGGCCCTGGGGAGAGGTGCTTACAGATGGGGAAACCGAGGCACGGAGCAGTCACGTCACTTGCCTGAGGTCCAAAACTAGTGATCACAGAGCATGACTTTAAACCTGGGTCTGGGGACCAATCGCGTCCCCAGGGACTCAGGGCTGGAGGGCACGCCTGGGGGCGGAACCGAGCTCTGCAGGGGGCGTGGCCTCTGGGGGTTCTGTTTCGCAGAGGGCGTGGCTTTAAAGGGGGTGTGGGCCTTGGGGGTGTGTCACTCTACCCCTTCCTGGATCCGCTGCTTCGGGCCTGTGGCTGATAAGGGTCTGGGCCATGTGCGCCCGGGAGGCCTGGACCCTGTCTGGTTGCCTGCCTCCCAGGGGCTCGGCGCTCTGAATGGCCCCTCGACGGGCACCTCGCTTGGCAGAAATGCCCTCTGCCTGGGGAGCAGGGCAAATCTTGGCCCTGGTGATCGTTTCCCCTCGTGCTGCCTTGGGGCCCCGGTAGGGGGCAGGCGTGTGCACCTGTGTGCGCACCTGCGTGTGCACGTGCACGCGTGTGCTCTCTGAGTGTGCATGCATGTGAGACCCCTACCAGGCCGCTGTGGTAGTGTTTGTAATGCCGGAGGGGCTGATACTGGCATTCATGGAGTGTAATCTGAGATTTTTGAAGTAAAGGTTGACAAATGATGTTTATTATGTGACAACATCTGAAGAAAGCTGGTTTCTGGGTGCGCCACGTGGTCGTTCATTTCCGCACCTCCAGGCCCCTCCCTGCCAGCCTGCCCTGTTCCTTGATCCCACAGCCCCGTAGTCTCTGAGATTCACCAGTTTGAAAGCAAATTAATTTCCTCAGGCTCAGTGCAAATGACCAGCCTCAACCTGGCCCGCCCACTCACCCTGCGGCAAGCTGGTGTGCGCTGACGCAGTCACTATTATGATCCTTAATATCCTGGCACCTGTCCGCTGAGCACGTGCTGGGCCTGAGTGGAGAGTTCTCCAGACAAAGCTGTAGGGAGCAGGTTTTGCACCCGGTTCCCTGAGGGCCAGAGAGGCCGCGCCACGTTTCGAGGTTGTCCTGGGGCTCAGCCCTGTCCCGGAGCACGTGGACCGGCCTCGCCCAGGACCCTGGCTTCAGCTGCATTTTCTCTAAGATTCTGCACCTGGAGGAACGGATGGGCTCTGGGGCAGGCGCTGCTCAGGTCCCCTCCTGTCCTCTCCAGGCCCCAGGGCAAGGCCTTCTCCAGAGGCCCGGGTACCCCTTGGAATTAGGCACTTTGTGCCCCCAGCCTGGGTGTGGGAATGGCTCCTCTCCTGGCCGCCAGTCAATGCGCTCCAAACCCACCATGGGACCCGGCCCCGGGAAGTCACTATGTGGGGGGTATCTCTGTCCGCAAGGGGCACACTTTTGCGTCTCAGGAGACAGAGCACTTCCGAATGTAGAACACCATCAGGGGCCCCCCAGCAGCCTGGCACCCCCAGTCTGTGTTGTTTCCACCTCGCCCAGAGCAGGCGTCTCTGTGTCAGGTGCCCAGGAGCAGCCTCAAGTGGCCCAGACAAGGCCCTGACCCACTGCGGGCTTCTGTGAGTCCATGTGGAGGGCAGAGTCCAAGAGGGGCACTCCCCTGGGCAGAGCCGAGGGTGCCTCAGCTCTGGGCGCAGGCTGTGTTCCTCCTGAGCCTGGCAGCTGCTGCTCCACTGTGACTGCCTGTCTTTGCAGGACTCAGCAAGGAAGTCGGGGCTGCTGAGAGCGCCCCAGTACACCCCCGGATTCCCAGTCCGGCTTCTGACTGCAGTGACCCTCAGGTGTCTGCCAGCATGCCCAGCCTGACCTCCCGGAGTCAGCCAGCAGCCACACAGACTGCCATGGCCACCCTTCAAGGCCTCCGCCAGCAAATCCAGACTGGGCTGGAGCTGGCCCGGGCCCAGCACCCCAGAGGAGGCCAGGCGCTCTGGCCATCCAAGCGGGCACTGCAGGGCCTGGCCGGGAGGAGGCTGCAGGGCCCCTCAAGTGCCCCAGACCTGCGTGGCTCCTCCTGGAAGAGCCCTCGGGCCGTGGCAGAGGGGAGGTGCCCCTTCTCAGAGGGGACTGGCAGCCTCCCCACCAGGCAGCGCTGGAGCACCTTAGCCGAGTGGGGGTCCTCTCCACAGAGGGCCTGGGCAGCCCAAGGACGGCACCCCTCCTTCCAGAGGCCTGGAAGCCCCCCTGAAAGATTCGGTGCCTCCTTGCAGCGGCCCTGGAGTGCCTCCGCCGGCCAGCCCTCCAGTCGGCAGAGGACCTGGGCTGCTTGTAAAGACTGGGAGGCTTCTAAGCGAGGACTGCGGAGCCCTCTGGAAAGGCCAGGCCCTCCCGCCCAGCGGTCCTGGAGCGCCTCCTTCACTCAGAGGGCCCACACCCCCCACAGGAGCGAAGGCTCCCTCCTGCCTCCCTCGGGAGCGAAGCACGCCTGGCCGAAGCTGGGGCTGAAGGCCCCTCAGAATGCACCTGGGAAGGAGAACCAGGCGCAGCCACCATTGCCCGGCCTGAAGCCGCGGGGGCTCCTGGGCCACCCCTACAGCTCCAAGTCCTTGCGGGAGTTCATGCACCGGAAGAGGATGGCCCGTCGGCAGCAGGCCCTGGAGGAGAAGGCCTCAGCCGAGCAGGCGTTGGAGCTGAGAACCCGGAGGCTGCAGGCCGTCTACAAGAAGCAGAGGGAGGCCGTCCTTGGCAGAGCTGCCCCCGTGGTCTCCCAGATGTGCCCCGGCATCGTGACCTTTGTCCCACACTCGGCACAGTCCAGGGTATGCCCCAGGGTGTGGGTAAGGATGGGGTGTGGGTCAGCTCGGCCGCTGAGCCCTTGGGGTCCCCAGATGCCTGCCTCCCTGGGTTTAAAGGGGCTCTGGAGGGGACTCCATTGTCTCTGTCCCAGCCCCTAAAGAGGGACCCCCACCAAGGGGTTTAGCCTGAGACCCCTATGGAGGCCCCGGGGTCCATTCTGAGGCTGAGAGACAGGGTCTTGGGGTCTTAGGGCCCCAGACTGGGCTCTGACTGTGTCCCTCTCTGCTTTAGGGTCTGGAAGCCCCTGGGAGCCTGGGGCCACCTGTGCTGGAGTGGAGCAAGGTGACCTCTGGCATGGTGCTGGGGGACCAGGAGGCCCCTGGCAGGTGGGTATGCAGAGGAAGGGCTGCAATTCTGGGCAGGGGCTGGCTGCCAAGGGTACCTCTGGGGGTGGCACCGTGGCTGTGCAGGGCTGTTCCTTGTGGCCATTTGTCTCCCTTGACATGCTGTTCCTGTCGCATGAGGCCGACGTTCGGAAGTGCAGGAGTCAGTCCCATGCGGCACATTCCCAGTGTCATGCAGCCACCACCTCCACCGGGTTCCAGGACAGCGGGTCCCTCCACGGGGAAGCCTCAGCCCCGTTAGCAGCCCCTCCCTGTTCCTCCCCGAGAACCCCCAGTCCACTGGCCATCTCTGGATCTGTCTGCTGCAGACGTTCCATGTTATGTGTTTGGCTTCTCTCTGAGCTTGTTCGCTAGGTCCATCCCCGCTGGAGCAAGTGTCCTTTTTTACGACTGAGTCATATTCCACACGTGGTCTCATGGTTTGTTAATCCATTGGCCATGATGGACCTTTGGGCTGTTTCCCCTTTTGGCTGCTGTGAATGAATTGCTGGGACTCCTGTTTTCATTTTCCCCGTGTGCGCACCCAGGAGGGGAACAGCGGCTGTGTGATAGGACTCTGTGTGTGACCTCTGAGGACCCCCTGTTTTCAGCATCACTGCACCATTTGCATCTCCACCTGAGCTCAGGAAGAGCCCAGCTTCTCTGTTTTCTGGTTTTCCCCTTGCTCTTGTTTCATTTTTACTGTGGTGTGTTAGCACTGAGCCAGGCCAGCTGTCCGGAAGCCCCCTTCCCTGAGCAGAACCTAGAGGCACAGGGTCAGGAGACCCCCCACCTCTCACTGGAGGCTGGTGTCCCAGGGCTTGGGCTTTGCGAAATGCCATGTGGATGCCATGCCAGCTGCTCCCTGGCCACCTGCCCAGTGGAGCCAGGAGGGTGGCACCAGAAGGCACTGCCAAGCAGGCTCTCCATGCATGCACAGTATGACCCTGGCGGGAGGGAGGGGCTGGCCCAGAGGCTAAGAAGGGGCCCCTTCGAGATGCCACTCACCAGGAGTGTCCTGGCCTAGGTTCACTCGGAACCTGGCTCCTGGGTGGGCCTTTGGCATCGGTGTTCTGAGAGGGAACTTTGGACTGACCCCCATGCCCAGCACCCACCTGCTCTGCAGCCCCCAGCCCCCAGGAGGGATGGGCACCACTCCCCTGGGCCCTGGCTCCTGGCAGTTTCTCTCTCTGGCTCCCTTTTGTTTCATTTTGTCTCAAAAGTGCATGTTCCCAGGCTTCCCCACCAAGATTGGGAAGCCCAGGAGTCTGCATTTTCAAACTTTGAAAGTTGACATCTGGTAACATGGAGATGAGAGCCAGGTGTGCAGCCCAAGGAGCGTCCCCACGCGGGCAGCCTGCCCCAGACCCGAAGTGGACCGCAGCCCCAGGGCAGCCCTGCCTCAGGAGGTCGGTGATGCTGGGGCAGGACAAGGCAGGCCCTGCGTCTTGTTTGTCTTTTCTTCTTTCACTTAAAAAAAAATGCGGTAAATCCTCAAGGGAGGAACAACCTAAGACAGGCACAGTCGCAGGGGGGCCATCAGGTGAGAAATTGGGGATCAACAGTGGTGAGGCTTAGAACCTCACCCCCCCCTGTTTTGAGAGAAATCTTCTGCATCCGTGGATGTTTTAATGCCCTTGTCTATCTTGGATTAACACATAGTCTACAGGCACACACCTGATCATCTACAATTGTCTTGCATCTACCTACCATTTCAGCATTTTATTAAAAATAATAATAATAATAATAATGTGGGATCCACATATAAATCAAGTATAAAAATTTAAAAAAATGAGGTAAAATACACATGAAACAAAGCTTATCATCTCAGCTGTTCCTAAGTACACAGTTCTGGGCCATCCCCATCGTCTCCAGAACCTTCCATCTTCCCAAGCTGCGATTCTGTCCCCATTGAGCAGTCACTCCCCGCCCTCCCCAGCCCCAGGCCCCTACCCTCTGTCCATCTCTGTGGACCTGACCCTCTAGGGGCCTCCTGGGACGGAGCACAGTGCCCCCAGGTCCATCTGTGGCTGTGGCGTGTGTCAGGATTCCCCTCTTTTTGAGGGCTGAGTGACACTCACCGCGTGCATGTCCCCTTCTGCTTCCCGTCACCTGCCAGTGGACTGTCACAGTGGGTTTCTTCTAACCTGTGGCTGCTGTGAACACAGGCGAGCAAATACCCATTCAAGTCCCTGTTTCCAGTCCTTCGAGTGGATCCCCGATGGGGACTTACTGGGTCCCGCGGTAATTCTGTTTACTTTCTGGGGAGCCTGACACTGTTCTCCACAGTGGCTGCACCCCTTCACATCTCCCCAGCGGTGCACAAGGGCTCCCGCCTCCCTGCGTCCTCCCCAGCACTTGCTGTTTTTGTTCGTTTGCTCTAATAGTGGCCATCCTCCGGGTGTGAGACGGCATCCCACTGCGGGTTTGATGTCCATTTCCCTAATGATCACTTACGTTGAGCATCTTGTGTGTTTTATTGGCCGTTCATATGTTCTCTTTGGAGAAATGTTTATTTAGTCTTTTGCTCATTTTTTACTTGCATTATTTGTTTTGCTGTGTTCAAGCTGCTCTTTATATATTCTAGATATTAACCCTTCTGAGAGATGTATGGTTTGTAAATATTCTCTCCTATCCCACAGGCTGCCTTTCTTTGATGCACAGAAGTTTTAAATTTTGAAACAGTTCAGTTTATCCTGTTTTTCTTTTGTTACCTATGTTTTCTTATCTCATGAAAGAAATCTTGCCGACTGTATTCCCTCTTTCTAACAGCTAACTGTGGGTGGCCCTTTGTGTGGGTGGCCCATAACCATCCCTCTGGTCGTGAAGGGACCCCGTAAATAGACCCCGGGCCTATCACAGAAGCTGCCCTGCTCCTCCCCGCACGTGTGTCTCCGACACGCCACTGGAGGTGGCTGTGCTAGGCCTCACCCTCTCCACCTCTCTCCCTGCAGCTTCTGCGTGTGTTTGAGCAGAGCGTTGAACCGCCCTGGGACGCTGGAGAGAGGAGGCTCCCAAGATGGCCAGGATGGTGCGCCTCTTCTGATGTCTGCCAGTTCCTCCCTGGGCCCCCTAAAGCTGCAGGACCTGGCAACCCGCTGCCTGTGCCCAGGGCTGTGCATCTACTTTGACCCCGAGGAGGCCGAGCACCTCGGCACACCGGGCCCCCTGCACTTTCGGTACAAGCAGGCCCGTCTGCAGGCCCTGGAGGCCACGGCCAACATTCTGAAGCAGCGGATCAACGTCCTCACCGCCAAGCTGCAGAGGCCCGAGGATCTGGACTCACTCAGGGATCTGGCCTCAGGCTCGCCGGCCTCGAGCCCCAGCACCGTGCCTGCCACCCCCACGCTGGCAGACCCAGCCTGCCCTGGAGACCTAGTGCCCAGTGGGGGCAGAGAGCCCCCTCAGGACTGGGCAAGCAAGCAGGCCATGCCTCTTCTCTGTCCTGCCTTCTCAGAAGGTGAGACGACACTGTGGAGCCCCGGCTGGGAGCGGAGCAGGAGCCCGAGGGGCCACGACTCCAGCAAGCCCCGAGGTAGGGCTGGCACCAGGCCCCGGATGACCACCAGCTCCGTTGGTGGCCAAGGAGCCCCATCTTCTTCCTGCCCCTCAGTTTCTTCTCCTGCAAGGCGGGTATGATGACAATATTGCAGCCACTGCCCAGGCCACTTGGGGTGATGCAGGTGGCAGCCTAGCACAGCACATGGCGTATGTTAGGTTTCACACCAGTGCAGCCTTTGTCACCACCACCTTAGCTCTGCAGACAGGGGTGGGGCTGGTTCAGAGGCTAGGTGCCCACAGCTCTTTGCCCTGCCTTGAGAAGAGGGGCAAGAAAGTGGGGCAAGGCCTGCTGGCTCCTGGTCAGCGAGGTCCTGGTGCCTATCTCCCCAAAGGTTTCATGGAGGATGGGCGCTTGGAGCTGGACAAGAGACTGGCGAGAAGCATGGCTTCCTTGCAGGGCCTCGGCCCCTTCTCAGGCAGGTAAGCCTACAGGCACCCTCTGTGCACCCTGGCCTTGCTGTGAGCCACGGGGCTGTGGCCGGGAACCCCCAGTACACAGCCCGCCTTGGCAGGGGCCGGGAGGTGCTGCCAGACCAGGCAGGAGGGACACTGCTGGGGAAGCCCTGGGCCCAGACCCGTCGCGCTGGGCCCTGGTGCTGGCTGGGTCAGGGCGGGCGAGCCTCACGTCACACAGGGGCTCTCGGACTCCCGTCTGGCCAGGCTTGGACAGCAGGCCCCTGGCCCAGGGTCCCGCTGACGAGCAAGTGGCCCCTAGGCTGTGCTTCCCTCCCACTGCTGCTCTCTGCTGGCTTTAGGCCCTGGGGAGACACTGCCGGCCACGCTTCTGTGCACGATTAGCAGGCCGACTGCATCCCGGGGGCCCTGGAACAGGCAGCCCTCCAGCCCGGGACCCCCGCCCACAGACCCTTGCACCTGCTCGTGGCCCCCGTCTACAGCACTGGCTGTGCCTTCCGTGGGGCCACTTCACACACAGGCCCCTTTGCTTGGGTCCATTTGCAAACAGATGACAATCTATTAGCCTTGAGTAGCCCCCGCAAGGCAGCCCCTCACCTGTCCCCGGGCAGGCCAGCAGGTGCGGGTGGTCTCTGGGGGGCTGGCCTTGCCTGAGTCAGTATCAGCCAGAGCCCAACGGGAACACCTGGGCCCCCGAGGCATTCCTCACCACTCATGTCGCCGGGCTGTCCTGGCTTGGGCCCTGGTTAAGAGGCCTCTGGGGGCTGGCAGTGCTGTTAACAGAGCTGGTAGCAGAGGGTGGAGACCACAGTCAGGGCAGCCATGGAGGCTGGAATACACATGGGGTGGGTTGCATGTCAGGAGAGTGATGGTACGGGTGGGGGCAGTCAGAGCGAATCCCAGGTCTGTGCTTAAAGCTGTTGACCTTGAGCAAAGTCGCATGCCCCCTCCAGCTTCAGAGTCCACCCCAGAAAATGGGGGGTGATGTTTCTACCTCCAGAGAGGGGCAACTTACCAACAGCACCTCAACCCCTCCCCTCCTGGGGCTTTTCTCTGGAGGGCTCCCCACCATCATCCCCAGGAGTCTCCATCCACCCTGCTTTCCTGACGCCCCCTGGTCTCACTGGTGGTGGGTTAGGGGCTTGGTTTTTTGGGGTGTCTTACCTCACCTTTCCCCATCCCGCTCCAGGCCCACCCAGCCTCAGTCCAGTGGGGACACCTACTGGCACCAGCAGGGGGCAGCATCGGGCTGGACTACACGGTCTCCGCACCCACCCTGGAGACCTTGAGAAGGGGCAGAGGAGGGGAGAATCCTCAAGAGGTTAATTTCGGAGCCCCAGGCTCCAAGGTGGACAGCCAGCCAGCCCCTGTAGGCCCAGGCCAAGTTCTCAGAGCCGAGGGGAGAGGAGCGTGGCCTCCGGGGTGTTCCCATGCAGGGCATTCCCCCGACCGGGGCACCCCGTCCCTGCTTCCCCCATGCCCTTGACCATCCATGGAGAGGCACGCAGAGGCTTGCCCCCGACCACCCAGCACCCTTGGAGCTCGGGGATCAGGGCTGGTAGCTTTCGGGCCCTCTTTGGGCACCCAGGAAAGGTGCCCCTCTTGTCCCTCCTAAATGAGCAGCCACCACACGTTTCTCAGGCTGCGGCTCTGCAGCAGGTCCCCCTCTTTTGGCCTGTGACTTCCCACGAGAGGCACCCACATCCCGCAGCCATTCAGGCCAGTTTCTGAGTCAGGGTGGGCGATCTCCAGTCCGTCCTTTCCCTCTGGGACCACAGCGCTCAGTGGCAGGGGCGGGCCCCACCTGTTAGCAGCGTCATGCGTGGCGAGGACCCTCTGTGCACATGGCCCCAGGAGGCCCCTCCACCCCGCAGCTCTGGAAGGCGGTGTACCCAGCTGGTTCCGCAGGCCTTTCTGTGCCTCGGGCAGCACTTTCAGCGGCCCTGTGAGGTGTGTTCTCATCCCCGTTTTGCAGCCGGGGAACCTGAGGCTCGGAGAGAAGAGACCCTGCCCAGGATCACACAGCTCGTGGGAGGGCAGGCCAAGATTCAGACCCAGGGCCTGGGCTCCACAGCCCGTGGTTTTTCCACTACACCCATAGTCCTCAAACTCTTCCCTGGGATCTCCTTAAAAATGCAGAGCCCCAGGCCCACCCAGCCCTCCTGAATCTGTATGTGGGGGTCGGTCCACTGATCAGTGTTCTCACAGGCTTCCAGATGATTCTGGGAGACCATCGCCCAGAAAGCCTAGGCCAGTGATCAGCGAGCCGCAGTCCCCGCGGCCTACCACCCTGTCTTTGTAAATTGGGTTTTATCGCCATACAGCCACGCTCATTGTGTCCGTCACTGGCTGCTTTCATGCTGCACCTGCAGAGTTGAGTCACTTCCACAGAGACAGCGCCCTTGGCCTGCAAAGCCTGAACATCCACTGGTGCTCCCTTTGTGGGATGCTTGCTGACCCCTGTTCTAGGTGACCGAGGGAGGCGCTGCTTCTCAGCAAGCCTTGGAGGGGACACTCCCTCCTGCCCTTTGCTGATCTGGTCAGTGCAGCTGGCCTGGAGATGAGCCCCCTGCAGTGGCCACCACCTCTCCCTCCTCTCCCTTCCTGTGCGTGCATTCCTGCAGCAGCCCCCTCCCCGGCGTTTCTGAGTCCAGGATTCAGAATCAGCCCCTGGGCCATCCATTACTCTTTCTGGAACACTCTTTCCCATGCCATCTCCCCTGCTAGCCCGAGAGCTGTGGATCAGGGGCTGGGCCACACCCTGCATGCGCCGGACGAACACCTGGGGCCTGGGGCCTCTGTGTGCTGGCAGAGGGCAAAGCCCCCTGTCCCCTGGTCCCCCGTCTCCAGGGCCCGTGGCTATGGCAGCACCTTTCGTTGCTTGAGTGGGTCTTGGGTCACCGTGTGAGTCACACGCACCCTAATGAGAAATATGAAGCGAGTCAGGGCTGACTGCACCTCAGATGCCAGCTCGGCACAGGCCCCGTTACACATTCATTTTTGTGCCCCAGGAAGGCCCTGCCTGGCAGTTGCCAGCGCACACACTCCTGGCCCTCCTGCCCCACCTGGGCAGCTGCCATCCAGGAAAGGCCCAGCCTTATGCCTTCCTCATAATCCTGTTGGCAGAGCAGATGTGCCCACCATCCTCACAGGGAGCTGAGCACACCCTGGGGTGGGGGCAGGCTTCTGAGTCCAGAGTCCAGCCCCCTGGTTTGACTCCTGGCCCTTCTGTGGGATGGGGCAGCAGAGCCAACCACCGCAGGTAGGGCTGACAGTTAGAGCTGGCTCGTGGACCCTGCTCTGCCCTGGTAGACAGCACCCCTTGGCAGATAGCAAAGGGGCCAACAGACAAGAACAGCGTGCCCGTGCCCATCACTCCCAGAGTGCCCACTGTGCAGGTGCCCCTGAAGGGCGGGCACGGGAGCGGACCTGGGGCAGGTATGAGCTTTCAGGCAAAGGGCACTTGATCCCAGCCCATGCCTGACGGTGGCCCTGGAAGCCAAGCCCCCTGTACCCAGGCCTCTGTGGGCTGACGGTCCCTCTGGATCTGAGTGCAGAGCCCCGAGCCACCACTTCACAGATGAGGCCCTGCCAAGCGACGGCGCTGTGTGGGTCTGAGGGCCACTCCAGGCCATGGAGCCCAGGTTCCTGGCCACCCCTCCCCATCCCCTTTGCCGCCGCCTATCTCGTGGGTGTCCACCGCCCAACCACTCACACCTGTGTTTTCCTGTCCTCAGTACACGCGGGGTGCCAGCCATGCCATTCGCCACCTGCAGCTCCCTGCAGCGGGAAGAGATGCCTCCAGCCAGAGGGGCGGGCTTGGTCATGCCCCGGAGCACGCGGAGCAGCGGTAAGGGCGGGCCTGCCAACAGGTGCTGCACCGGCTGGTCGTGTGGCCGGGGAGCTCTGTCAGGGACCCCTTCCACTGCCTGAGGCTCCGGCGACGTCCTGCGGGTGTAGAGAGATCCTTTCCTATGTGGGCAGCACCCACACGTCAGTATTAAAACTTTCTGCAGGCTTCCGGGCCCCGGCTGCTTGCTGTGTGCTCTCGCAGACTCTCTGTGCTGCCGGATTTGCTCCGATGAGGGCCAATCCCTAATTTCATTGACAGCCCCGCTCCTGGGGGCCCCCCTCAGAGCATCTATTGGTCCATCTCTTTTGCTGCCCAAGGGGTTGAGGAGACTCGCTCAGGGCCGTGGAACCGGGGGTGGGGGACGGGGTGCCTGCCTGGGTTTGGGGGTTTCATCCAGTCAGTAGGCTGGGCGTGGGCCCTGAGAGCCGGGGGACGGGGCCGTGGGCTGGATCGGCTGGAGGGGCCTGACGCGACAGCTGAGAGCTGTGCAGACCCTGGACAGCCCAGGATGCGCGATGGTTTGCTGTTGAATTGCTGTCTTTCAGTTTATTTTCTTCTGAAGTTTTAGGAATGGGAATAAAACATACTCACGTATGCAGTAAGGGGACTAGGACATGGCGGGTGTGGAGTGCCCCCACCCCGAAGCAGCCCCACGGAGAACCCCCTGCTCCGTCGGGGCCGGGAGAGGCTGCCCACCTCACCAGGGAGCCGTGGGCCCTGTGAGAGGCTGAGGCGCACAGTCAGCAGTCTCGGCTGTCGCCAGGGCCTGGGGGAGGAGAGGGAGCAATTTCAGCCCTGGGCCTGGGGTCCCACACACCTGAGTTCAAAGCTGCTCCTCTATAACTGCCCAGCGGTGGTCCCCAGCAGATTCCTGCCCCTCCCTGGCAGACACAGGGCCCCGGGGGCCAGGCAGGATAGGGGCCTATTTCAGGGGCCCGGCCCACAATCCTCTAGGGGCTGCAATCACTCCCACAGGGCAGGCCTCCTGCAGCCCCCTGGGGTGAGGCAGGGATGGGCTGTGGCCACCGGGCCGTGTGCGTGCGCGCAGGAGCTCACACTCTGGGCCTCGAGGGCAGAGAGGTCTGTGCCACCCCCACAGTGGTAGGTCTCTCCCACCCCTTGCCTCTCAGTCTGGGAGACCCCCAGCCTGGGGTGGGGGCTGCTGGGCAGACTGACCGGGGCCCTTCCTCTCCCAGCCGCCCACTGATCCCCTTGGTCCTCGCTCTGCTTTCCCAGCATGCTCGCGGAGCACCTGCTGGGCCTGGCCCTGACCGGAGAGGAGGGGTCTGCCTCCTGGGGTGCGGGGATCAGGAGGTGCCCAAGGAGGAGAGTCTATGGAGAAGGGGGCAGGGGGCCCCAGCAACAGCTTCCAGCCCCTCCTCACCCCAGAACTTGCAGCGCAGCGAGGGGCCATGAGCTGCGGGGGGCACCCAGGGACAGCCTGGGACCAGGGCTCGGGTGGTGCCGGCACTGTGCCCTCCCTGAGGCTGGCTGAGCAGGGGGCCAGTCGGCTGTGGGGGCGTCTAGGGTGATTCGGGCAGCCCCCTCCTGGCCAGGCCCTGCAAAGGGCTCAGGCTCTGGCGTCCCCTCGGAGGGTGGGGGCAGCCCTCCTTTTACCCCTCAGTTCCATTCCCCATCCCCACAAGGATGAGCTGCAGGAGTGGCTCCTGGCTCTTGGGTGGGACCCTGGGCGTCCTGAGGAGGGAGGGGCCCCATGGGAGTGTGCCCCAGCCCAGCAGCCGTGTGGCCTCGGGACCCCCTGGGGTCCCATCCGCCATCGCTGGGCCTTCCAGAGAAAGGAGCCAGGGCAGAGCTGGCACCTTGGGACGTATCGCAGACCCCTCTCCCTGGGCCTGCCTCCATGAGAATGCCCCTCGGGAGCCTCTGTGGCCTGGTCTGGGCAGAGCTGTTGGCCTGGGGCTGAGCCTGAGCAGGCCAACAGCAGGCCTTCCAGAAAACCTGGCTCCTTTCCTGGCTCTGCCCCAGGGTGCCTTCCCGGAGGCCGGGAGCAGGTTGGGTGATGGGGTGGGAGCTCACTCAAGCTCTCAGTCCCTCCTGCATCCCTCTGAGCACTGCTGGGCTGGGCTGGGCAGGACCCCCCTCTGTGCTTGCAGACTGAAGTTCTCTGACAGCATCTCTTTAGCCTGAGGCCGCAGGCAGGCCCCCAGTGTCACCTGAGATTCAGTTGCTCCTGCCTGGAGTAGCCCTGTAACTCCTCTTGGGTAGCCAGAAACCAAAGCAGTGAGCACAGCCCAGAGTGCATGGTGGTGCTTTTGGCAGACACCTCCTCCAGGAAGCCTTCCAGGTGCCACTCAGGCTGTTCAGGTGCTGCTACCCTGCTGTAGCGTACTCTGTGGGCATGGAACTCATGTTTGTGCATGTCTGTGGGCCACAAGAACTGGAGGGTCTGGCTCCCATCACAGCCTGGCCCCTGGGACAGTGCCTGCCCACCATGTGTGGGTGCTTTGGGGATACTTGCTGAGCGAATGAATGAACTAAGCACCTGAGTGCCCTGGGCCTGGCACCACATGCACACGTGAGGTCTTGTTGGTCTCAACTGCATGCCTTAGGGGTGGGTCCCATCCGCATGCCCATATTTACGGAGGAGGAACCCGGTGCTCAGAGAGGCACCCATCAGCTCCAGTCAGTGTGTGGCAGGGCAGAGCTTTGATCAAACAGCTGGCACTGCCATCCAGTGTAACTTTCTAGGCTTAAACATCTACACCAGTACTGCCCAGTGGAACTTTCCGGGCTCTCCAATATGGTAGCCGCCAGCCATGTGGCTGTGTAGCCATTGAACTGTGGCCAGCGTGACTGAAGAATTTTATGTTTTATTGCTTTTAATATATTAAAACGTGACAGCACATGGTGTCATCGAAGCTCTGGCCCTCAGACACGGTGGCTCACCTTCCCAGGCCGCGGTGTCCCGTCAGCCTCATCCTGGTTTGAGGCTGCAGTTCCCCCGTCCCCAGCCCCGTGCCTGGGGACGCGTCTGGCTTCCTCATCACAACATCCACCACCGGTTGAGCACCTATCAGGTCATAGCACTGGATCCTCAGCCACTGGGCACTTCGGGGTGCCCTGTGGTGGCAGACTGCTGTCATGGAGGGGCTAGGGAGCAAGGCCACTTGCCACCCTCTGCCCAGTGGGGTGACCCTGGCAGTCTCTTGGGGCTGCTAGCTGCTGGGCCTGCCAGGGCCATGCCCATCTCAAGGACAGCTTGCTTCCTCCTGGGTCCCAGCTCCGGCACACAGCCTGCCTGGGGACCTGTCAGGGGTGCTGAAGCTAGAGGTGACCAGGAACTCCCCCTCGGGCTTCTGAAGCTCCCAGGGGCCTGGAGGAGGGTCAGCGGGAGCTCAGGCCTCATTGTGGGTGACAGGGTACCTTGTTTGGCTTCAGCCTCTCCCAAGGGCCACGAAACAGAAGCAAGGAAGGATTTCTCCCTTCTCGGGGGAACCTCAGTCCCAGCAGACACTTAAATCAGCTCCTAGAGGCATCTGCATTTCCCATGGTGGCAGTCAGCCGGAGGGAGGGAGCACCCCAGCATCACCCCCGCACTCAGTGCCCTGTGAGGGGCCTGCGTCTCACCTGGGCCACCGGGACCTGGCCTAGCTGCTGTCCACGGCTCTTCCCCCGCTCTGACTGTGGAAAGCTGAGTCGCCCTCCTCCTGGAGGGAGGGCGTGGTCAAGGACGTCACCCTCCCCACCCCTCGGCAGGGGCTGAGGGGCGCCTCCCAGGGGCCAGCAGGAGGGCTCCTCCATCCACAGGCCAGGGGCCCGCACACCCTCCTGTGGCACGCTGGCCAGGCCCCAGGCCGAGAAGACAGAGGGTGCAGCCAGCAGGGAGCACAGTGGCCACCCATCAGACCATGGAGTCACCCCCAGGGGCAGCCCCCGGGGGGCTGGGGAGCCCCAGCGTCAGAAACCATGCTAGGGAAAGGGAAAGAAGCCCCTCCTTGGCCCTTGGGGACCCCAGGATCTAAGCATGGAGGCCGAGGTTTCAGTCACTGTGGGGCAATCCCAGAAATCCCGGGGGACTGAGGCGCCAGGGCCTCTGCATTCACACGCAGCTACCAGCCACAACCTTTACTATCACAGTAGCCAGGACGCCCCAGCATGTGCCACCTCATCTCACCCAGCCTCTGACGGGCTGGTGATCTGTCCCGGGTCACCAGACGAACCCGTGGCAAGCAAAGGTCTGGGCCTAGTCTCTGCAGACAGGGGTGCTGTTCCTGGGGCTGAGTGGCTGAGGGCCCAGCAGAGCAAGCCCCGCGGGGTGGAGGTGGTGCAGCAGCCGTGCGTGATGCACAACCCCTCCTTCTACCTGTCTCTCGCGGGTGGAGAGGCTGCGGCTGTGGCTGAGCAAGGGGAGGCTGGGTTCCCCTGGCTCTTCAGCTGCCCCTCCCCATGGTCCGCAGGTCGGTGGGAGCCTGGTGGGCCGAGGTCCCCGCACCTGGCCAGCCTCCAGCAGAAGTCCCTGAGCTTCCTCCGGTCACTCAAGGTGTGTCCTGCCCCTGCTGTTGGGGCCGCTGACCGCTGTGTCCCGTTAGCCCCTTCTGTTTGGGGTAGGCTGGGAGCTGCCTTTGCCCTGAGGCTGAGCAGAGGCTTGCAGCCAGAAACTGTAGGACCGAGAGCCTGGCAGGGCTACAGCTGGGGGGCCGGGCGGGGGGCGGAGGTGGGAGGAAGGCCTGGCCCAGGATGCCCTGCCCGGAGGGGCTCCAGGCAGGGGAGCCAGCCACCAGCAGGGGAAGGGCCTGCATGCCTGGGTCCATCAGGGACCCTCTGGGAAGGGGCCTGTTCCTGGATGTGGCACTGCCTGCCCTTTTGGTCTGAGGGCTTGCGGGGCCTGGGGGGCTGTGGGCTGGGCCCTGGAGTCTGAAGCCTGGCCTTCCTGGCAGCTGGACCAGCAGAAGCAGGAGCAGGCACTGGCCCTTCTGCGGCAGCGGGCTCAGATGGAGGTCTGGGAGACGCAGAAGGCCCTGGAGGAGCTGCTCTTCAAACACCGGCTGGAGGTCAGCACAGCACCTGTGGGCTCCCACGAGCAGGTCATGCTGCGGTCTAACACATGGCTGCCCGGGCCCAAAGTGCCCAAGGCCGCCAGATGGACCGCACCCACTTTAACTCATGTTAAAGCAGGAACAGGACGTTTTGGCCCGCTAGTGTCCTGGGGGCACTTGGCTGGGGGACGGAGGGCCTTCTGAGGTTCTCACCTGCCCGTGTCCTGGGCTCACTGGGTTTCCGTTGGAGCCCTTGAGCTGAGGTGTGCAGGTGCCCACACTCCTGTTGGGAGTTGGGGGAAGGAGGACCCCAGCCTCCCAGTCATCTCTGCCCAGCATGTTGCCTGGTGTCACCTAGCCTCATCAGTTTGTTGGGGTGGCACAGATGGTGCCCAGGCCAGGTGGGCAGGGTGAAGGCCAGGAGGCTGGTGTCTGTGGTCTGGATGGAGGTGATGAGCCCTTGTGGCAGTGACTGACGTGCGTCCTCAGTCCGGGGACTGTCAGGATGCATTCACAGTGCATTTAGGGAGGCACAGCCATGACAGTAACCAAGCCAAGGAAGCGTGTGCACACGAGCGCCCGCACTGCCCCATCTCCCTTCCTCTCTTCCCCTTCTTCCAGTGTCCAGCACACACCTGCTGGGGACTTGTGGCTGCCCCAGCCGCTCGCAGGCTCCCTGGCGCCCGTCACGCAGCTGCGCCCACCCCTGCTGTCCGAGGGCCCAGGCCTTGGGATGCGCCATGGTTGCTGGGCACCTGCCCCCTCCCCCCACGCTTGCCACATCCAGCTCTCTCGGGGGGCCAGGATGGGGGCTGTCTGCCCACACGGAGGATGGACAGATGAGGCCCCTGAGGTTGGAGACTCGCCTGGCCTAGGGCTTCTCCCGGGGGCCCAACCTGGCCCCCGGCTCACCAACTGTCTCATTTGTCCCCCACACTGCATCCGGCTTCCTGTCCTTGCAGCGGCCGATGGAGAAGTACTCGACCCAGCCTAAGCTAGAGACCGCTTTGGAGCGGGAGCAGCCACCGCTGTGTGGGGACCTGGAGCCGAAGACCATTCAGAGCCCCGTGACAGGCAGACCCGGGTGGGGCCCGAGGCTGGGGCTGGCAGCCCCCTCCCCGTGTAGAAGAGGGTAGGGTGGGGGCCTCGGACAGGCATCGTTGGAATGGTGCTGCTGAAGCTGTGCGTCTCCTGTGCTTCCCCACCTGGCAGATCACACCCAGCCCCGGGCAGAGATGCTACCTCGACCTCCCAAGATCCCCAGGAAGGACAGGAGAGTCAGGCAGACAAGTCAGCTTCTGCAGGTGAGTCCTCAGAAACCACCCACACAGCAGGTGCTTAACCCTGGGCCCAGCAGCTCGGCTACACTGCATCCTGTGTGGACCCCATGAGGGCTGAGTAAGTCACACAACAGAGAGGCCCACAGTGACGGGGGAGCTTTCCACAGCCACATGGTCGAGGCGGACCAGGATCTGACACTAGCTGAAGCCAGAACCATGTGGCTGACTGTCAAGCAGCCCTCCCTCTTGCTTGTCAGGGTGGGCTACGTGCCCGCCAAGCCTGGGTGCTGGCATGACAGCATGGGACACAGCAGCCGCTACCCCCACCCTCGGAACCCTGGGTGATGGTAGGCCTAGGTCGCAGCAAGAGAGCTTCAGGTTAGACACCAGGAGGAATGGCCCAGCATGAGGGCTGTGGCCACGGGTGCAAGAGCGTGTGTGAACCCTGCCCTGGGACACAGGGCCGTCACCATCTCCCTGAGGCCTGGCCTGGTCACAGCCCATCAGGGCCCCTCTGGGAATGGAGAGCCCCCACTCTTTCCAGGCCTTCCACATGCCCACCTCCATACCTTAGCGTGATTTTCCGTGAGGCCTCCCAGGTGCTGACCCCGTAAATTTCTGAGACCTGCCGTACTCCAGCTGCCCTTTCTTGTGTGCCGTGTTGGCAAATCAGAGGCCCTTATTTGCAGGCTGCAGGGACAGCATAGCAAAAAGCCTCTGGCAGCTTTAAGCCCTCGGTAGAGCTGGCGTGGCAGGCTATACAGGCAGGCTCCCAGCCTGGCACCGCCGCCTCACCGTGAGGTTTTGCTCTGCTGCCAATTCCTACTTTAATGTCACCGGGTCATGATGCATTGTTGTATGACCCTAAGTATGTTGAGACTTGGGCTCTTCCCAGGGTATTGCTGACCTTCGTGGATGTCCCCTGTGCTCTTGAAAAGATCATGTGCTTTGCCACTGTTGGGTGGAGCACTGCCCCAATCCAGTGAGTCCTTGTGGATTTTCCCCATCAATGACTGGGGTGGGGACGGAGACAGCCAGCTATCACTGCATGCGCTTTTTCTGCTTGCAGTACTTTTGGGTTTTCTTTCATGTATTTTGAAGCTCTGATGTTAGGCACATGCACGGCAGGGATTATGATGTGCTCTGGATGAATCAGCCCCTTTATGGCTGGGTCATTATGGAATAACCCTCTTTATCTCTGGCAATATGCTTGGCTCTGAAATCTGTGATGCTAATAGCGCTGCTCCTGCCTTCTCGGAAGTAGCGCTGGCGTGCTGCAGACTTCCCCTTCCATTAACTTGTGTCCTTGCATTTCAAGAATGTTTCTCGTAGGCAGCTTATAGTTGGATCTCGCTCAGATTTTTTGTGGTCCCATCTGGCCATCTCTGCCTGCCAACTGGAGTGCTCACGCTATTCCATTTCACGTGACTGTCAGCGTGGTGAGGTTTGTGTCTGTCACCTTGCTGTTTTCTAACATCTCCTCTGTCCTTTGCTTCCTTCTTTTTTGTCATCTGCCTTCTTTTGGACTAACCAGGTTTTTTAATCTGTTGTCGCTTCAGAGCTGGAACTGCTATTTGGGGGTGGCTTTAGGACGCAGGGTGGTTTGCAGGACCCACCTTCGTGTGATTCTCCACCACTCCCCTGCAGGAGGCTCTTCCAGTACCTCACGTGCCCTTCCCTGGACTTCATGCCGTTGTAGTCACTCATTTTACTTTTAGTCCACAATGCATAATTACTTTAAACACGCCGTGCTGTCTGTGCACACACACGCATGCTCACGTATATGCACATTCTGGTGCCTTCTCCCCTCTGCGTAGACCCCAATCTCCATCTCTCGAGTCCCTTCTGCCTGAAGGGCCTCCTTTAACTTTTCCAGTAGGGCTGGGCTGCTGGTGACTATTTTGTTTAGCTTGTGTGTGTCTCGGGACATCTTCATTTTATCTTTGTTTTTGAAATATTCTTTGCCGAATAGAGAGGTCTAGGTGGACATTTTTTCTTCCGACAAGAAGCCTGAAGCCTGCCGCTGTCCTTTCCTCCTCTGCATGGAAGGCGTCTCTTTTCTCCGGCCTTCTCTCTGTGGTTGGCTTTGGGCTATTTGATCATGATGTGCTTTGGGGCAGCTTCTCTTCACTTTCCTGCACTTGGGGTTTGTCGAGGTCCTTGCACCCAAGGGTTTGTTGTTTTCTTCAAGTCTGGCATATTTTCCACCATGATTTTTTCAAACACTTTTCCTGTCCTTTGGGGCCTCCATTTACCCGGATAGTAGGCCACTGGAAGCTGTGAGCTCACAAAGCTCTGTTCTCTCTTCTGGGGTTCTTCTTTCCTCTGTTTCCTGTTAGATAGTTTCCAGTGCTGTCTCCGAGTTCACTCACCTTTCCTCCTGAAACATCAAATCCGTCACTCATCCCGCCCAGTCTTTTTTATCTCAAGAGGTTTTGCTTTTGCCTCTAAAAGTTCCATTTGGACTTTTCCCTACCCTCCGTGATTCCACTTAACTTTTTAAACATACAGATTACAGTTACAGAAACGGTCCATGTCCTTCTCTGCTAATCCTAACAGCTGCGTCAGTCTCAACTGGTTGATTACGCTCGTTGTGGGTTGTTTTCCTACTTTCTCGCGTGCTATCCAGCCAGTGTGAATTTTGCCTTGCTGGAGGCTGCATGTTTGCATATTCCCGGCCACAGTCCTGAGCTTTTTGGGAATGCAGTGACTGGCAGGCAGTTTGATTTTTCCAGTTTCTGCTTTTGTAATTTGTTAGGTTGATTCAAAGCAGGCTTCAAAGCAGTCTGGGGCCAAGGCACGGTCTTCCGGGTGCGCCGCTCTAAGCTCTGTGAATCATGAGGTTTTCCAGCCTGGTTAGTGGAGACAGACATCATCTCAGCCGTCTGCTTCCGCCCAGCACTGGGTAATGTGATCACGTGCATTCCTGCTCCGTTCTAAGCTGAAGGCTCAAGGGGGACACTGCACAGATGTGGAGGTCCCTGCTCTCTGACGCTCCTTCCGGGAGCTCCTCTCTGCCCTGGGGGGTCGGCCAGGCTCTGCCTTAGTTTTGATCTCCTGCCCCTGCAGCCTGGAGACTCTCTCTCGAGGCAGGAAGCCATAATGATCAGAGGTCACACCTCATGTTTGTTTAGTCTCTCAGGGGTCACTGGGCTATGTTGCCTGATGCCCCGTGTCTGGAAAGCCATTCTTTCATAATGTGTGCGTATGAATATTTATAAATGTATACGGACATATAGATTAGTAATTCTTTTCTGTGGGACAGCAAATCCACAATTCAACCCCTTCTACTTTCTTGGTGGGAAGTGCAAGTCCTCAAATGGCCTTTGGAAAGAACAGAGTCCCTTTTCCATCACACCCAGCGCCAAAGGGCGGCCAGTGGCTGCCACTGGTGATAGCTGCTAAGGCTGGGAGTCTGACTCTGGTGCCGGACCTGAACTGGTCACTCTCTTTCTGGGCCTCAGTCTCTCCTGCTGAATTGGAATCAAAGCAGTGGGCTAAGCATCCTCTACCTTGGGTCTGGTCTTCTGTGTGGTCAGTAGGTTCACACCCCAGAGCTTCAGGAGAAAGGACATGATTGGTCCCTTCTGCTGTAACCTTGTGAAGATTTGGTGTGAGGCTGTGTCTATGTGTGGGCATTAAACCACCCTGGACACCTTACCTTTGAGGCCCTCCTGTAGAAAAGGCCCCTGGAGCCCCTACCTGACCAACCAGGAGTTACTTCCTGTCCTCAGGGCCCACGCAGGAAGGAAGACCCGAACAATGTCCCTCCCAGCTGCCCCAGGCCAGGCCCTACCCATGCGACAACCCCATCCACCAGGTACGGGGAGAGGCGTGGGAGGGAGCACAGGAGTAGGTCCTGGGAGGCTTCTGCAAGCCCGCATTAAACCCAAATCCTCCTCAGCTGCCTGGGGCCATTAGGTGCTGAGGCCCACCTAGAGTCTGCCCCATGGAGGGGGGTCCCTGCCGTGGGTCCTGGGCTGGGGTGGCCCTCGCTGCCATGGGCATTGTGCACCCTGCCCAAGCCCCTTCCTCACGCCCCAGGTGGTAGGTGAAGGCAGGCATTTCAACAGAGTGCTTTGACAGGATTGGCCCCTGCCACCCAGGATGCACCTTTCCGGGCAGGTGGCCCAGCCTTTTCCCCATCCCTCTAGAACACACAAGTGCCTGGGCCAGATCAGAACCGGGCAGGAGGCCAAGATGCGAACCCCGCCCTGCTCTCAGGAGTTCACAGTCGGGAGGGGGGTATCGGGAAGGGAGGCAGGCCTGGGGATGAGTGTGGCAAGCAATCCGGGAAGGCTTCCTGGAGGCAGCGGCCGCCTCCCGGGGCCGGCCCCTCTCCCACCCAGTCAAGCTGGTCCCTGAGTGGCCTGGAAGCTCGGCGGTGGTGACGCGGCCCGGTTGGTCTGCCCCGCCGCAGTGGAGCCTGGAGGGGCTGGGGAGCGCCAATCTCCGGGCCCTCGGCGACCTCGCGCTCCAGATGCTCCAGCAGAACCTGCGCGAGGAGGAGCTGCGCGGGCAACACCGGGCCGCGCTGCTGCGCCTGCGCGAGGTGGTGTTGGAGGAGAGCAGGCGCGCCGAACGGGCCTGGCGGGCGCATCGGCGAGGGTAAGCGCACGCGCGCTGCGCAGGCCCCGCCCCCGGCGGCCGTGCCCCGGGGGCCAGGCCGACCCCGAGTGTGCAGGGTTAGGGGAGCGACCCCGAGTGTGCAGGGTTAGGGGAGCGACCCCGAGTGTGCAGGGTTAGGGGAGGCAGCGCGGTACCGACAAATACGTAAAGATCCAAGCCACCCTTCGCCCAGCGGTCGGGACAGCCTCTGCCCGTGCCGTCTGACTCGCCAGCTCGCGTTGAGCGAGACACGCGTGCGGCCTCTAAACCACAGTTCGAAACAGATGCTCGTACTGACTGTAGCTTGGACTTTCCGTGTCCCTACGTCCCCGCTACAGCGTGCAGGGTGCCCAGGCAGAGAGACTGCACAGTTCCCTCAGCCAGCCCCCATAGCAGCTGGACCTTACGGCTGTTTCCAACGTCATGTTACAAGTCGGCCGAGAGCTTCCTTAAATGAACTAGAAGAGGAATCGCCCCAGCAGCGGGAATGCATTTTTTTAAACTTCTTGACATTCCCAAATCGGCCTCCCAAAGGTTATTGCAGTTAAGATCCTGAGCTGCAGTTTATGAGCAAGCCAGCCTTTGGGTGTTCTAGTCCACAGTGACCCCTGCTTTCCTCCCCAGAGCACCCCCTGGCTGGGCTGGGGCTCCATGGTGGGAGGCTCTGCCCTCTGGTTGTCTCCCAGGCCCCAAAGGGGTTGAGGGGGTGGTAAGAGTGACGGCCGGGGCCAGCGTGCCTCCCGGGGTTCCCCCAGCCTGCCCAGGGACGGCCACTGCCTCCCAGTGCCCAGCAGTAAGGGGAGGGCATCCCAGGTCCACCTGGCCAGCAGGACTGGCCGTGCTGTGGGCCTGTACATTCATATGCTCGACCGGAGATCGCAGTCGATTCTGCCTCCTTCCCCAGGTGTCCAGGCAGCAAGGGGAACCCCGCAGCTCTGGCAGCCTTGATGGAGAAACAGCAGCCGGCCCTCAGCAGCCTGGAGCAGCGGCAGGTAAGGGCCAGAAGGTCCTGTTGCCCTCCTGGCTAGGAGCATGAACATCTCACACCACAGCTGGAGAATTCCCAAGCCCTCCCATGCTCCAGGGCACTCAGGACCCTGCCATGTGTGGGGAATGTCCAGTGGCCCCAGGGGGCAGCGTGGCCTGGGTGGAGTGTGGTCCTGGGATCCTGGCTCCTGGCTAGGGTGGGGTACAACCTCAGAAGAGATTTCCCTGCTGCTCCGAGCCCAGCTTCCTGATCTAGAAGACAGGGTCAGGGGCCGCAGTGCCGGCTTGCTCATTTCAGTCTCCCAATGTGCTGGGTTGGGGGGGCTGGTGCTACAGCCTTTATACAGATGAAAAAAATGGAGGCTCTCAGGGTGGGAAGCTTGTCTTGCTCAGCGGCCCTCCGCGGGAAGAGAGGTGCAGTGCTGGACTTTGCTGGGCAGAAAACTTCCACCCTAGATGGCTTGTATGGGACGGGGAGTGGGGTGGCAGGCAAGGGGCACTCCACATGCCTTTCTCCTCGCCTTCTCTGGCTGGCTCAGAGGGAGATTCGGGACCTGTGGGATGTTCACCCGTTCTCGCACCAAGAGAGGGCACTGCTCCTGCGGCAGCAGAAGGACATCCTCTCCATGCAGAGGTCCATGGCCCGCCTGCAGCAGGACCTCTGGGCTTGGACCAGGAGGCTTCAGGTGGGGGCACACATCCGAGCTAAAGTTTGGGCCTGTGGCCAGGAAACGCTGTCACCAGCTGCTCTGTGGTGACCCTTGTGAAAACACCTGTGACCCAGGTGGAAAAGGACGTGGGAGGGACAGCCACCTGCAGGGGGCGCCAAGGAGGCTTCCTGGGCAAGGCAGCCCTGGTCGGGCGCTGGAGGAGAGCCACACCCCGGTGGGCTAGAAGGTGCCCCAGGCCCCGAGGTGGAGGTGGAGAGCCCAGGGTGAAGTAAAGGGCCAGGGCTTTGCACAGCTCATAGGGGGCAGTGGGGGAGGAGAGGCCTTGCAGGGCTGGGAGAGGGCTGAAGCAGGAAGGAGAGGGTGGCACCCTTGCTCCAGCTCCCTGTCCCCCACCGCAGTTGTAGGAAGGAGGTTGTACGGACACAGGGTGGGGAGGCTGTCTCCCACCTGAGCGTCTCCTCTGTAAGTTGGGGGTGCTGAATATCTCACCTGGCAAGGTCAGGATGGAATGAACCAGGCCTTAGGAAGCCCCTGGCGTAGGTTAGCACTCACACTGCAAGATGACCACAGAGCGGGGTGCCACCTGCCCCAGGCCAGCCTGCGGGATAAGGGCCCCAGGGCAGCTGTCTCAGCCCAGTGCCAGTTGTGGGAGCACACTGCCACCCACTTTTCCTAGAAGGAAACGGACCAAGGGGACCCACACCTGCCTGCCCTGTACCATTTCTCATAGAATTTGGACCCTGACATCAAGCCCACTCAGGCGGAGGGCTCTGAGACAAGCCAGCAGCCAGAGGGGCCTGCACAGGGCTCCTCGTGCCCCCTGACAGCACACAGGCCTGGTAGTCCCACCAGCCACCACCGCTGCAGAAGCCCTGGGAGCCCACAAGTCCCGCAGTGAGTCCCACAGGGAGCCCTGCCCTGGTGCTCGCCTCTGAAAACCTTTCCTGCACTGATCAGCCTTCGTGCTGGCTGCTGGGCCCTTGCCTTCCCTGGGTGGGGTGGGGGCCTCCGGGGCATGGAGGGGACTCTGCTGCCCTGGCTGGCCCTGGGGTGCGGTAGAGGCCAGAGCTGCCCTGGCCCAGTGGGAGGAGGGTAGGCAGGTGCTGTCACCCCCAGCTGTGCCACTGGCTGGGGTGTGATCCTGGAGTGTCTTCCCGTCTCTGGCTGTTTGGTCTGTTAAGTGGGGACAGGTGCCACCATCCCCGGGCTGCTGTGGGGTGCGGTGAGACAAAGTGGGCAGACCAGTCTGACTCCAGGGAAGCTGGCGGCATGTGTGTGGCCCCCCCAGCTTCTAGGTGCCTCCTCCCAGGCTGGTGTGGGACTGTTCTGCCAGCCAGGGTGGCCCGGCCTTCCTGCACAGGCTGGCCACATGGCCGCTGGTCTCGGGTTGCAGCAGAAGGGTCTCCTGAGGCCTGCATGCTGAGAGGGCCTGCCTGGGCTGAGACCCTGGGGGTGGGGGTCCAGTGACCATGTCACCTACCCAGAGCCTTGCTGCAGGAGCAGGCAGAGCTCCTTTTGCCATGCATGGCCTGGCGCCCCTGCACCGGGCGCCCCTCCTTCCCTTAGAAGCCAGGAGGCCCTTTCTGCCCCCAGCTCCTTCCACAGGGCTGGTGGCTGCCAGAAGCAGCAACCCGGGGAGGGGCTCGCTGGGCAGGAACAGCCTTCACAGGGACCCCTGCTCACCCCTGGGGGCACCGTCGCTGTCCAGTAGCCCTCTTCTAGTGTGGTGGGGCCTGTTTTCACACCTCCCCCAGGAAAGGGAGTCANAGCAACCCCCACCCCAGGTTCCATCTGAGAGGGGTTTTCAAATAAATCTTGGACCAATCTGTAATTCACATTGCTATTGATTGCCAACCCCAAGAATCTTCCGGAAGGCTTCCAGGCTGACTACCCTCTTGGTACCTGGGAGCTTGTTTGTAGGGCTGGGGCGGTGGGGGCCAGCAGCCCAGGCAGTTGGCAGGCCTGCATCTTGGTCAGGGGTCGGCCGTTTGGGGTCCCGGGGCTGGGAGAGGCCCCCTTTGCTTTGCCCATCACAGTAGCCACGCGTGGTCACTGCTGGAAAGTGAGTTAATAGAGAAAAGCCATGTACCAGCAGCATGGAGGCCGCAGGTCTGTGACCCACCCTCCCTGAGACTATGCCTTGTTTTGGAGGTCATGCCACAAGGGAAATAGGTGTACTCAGCTCTTTCTTCCCTGCCAGAGAAGCCCTGCAGAGCTCCAAGTGGCGGGGCCTGGTGCATCCACGACTGGTGCCTGTGGGCCTGCCTCCCCAGCTCAGCCCCCAGGGCTCTGAGGCCTCCTGGCCTGAGCACCCCACCCTCCCCCAAAGAGAGGAGGCCGGGGAGGGAGAAGCCTTTAAGAGGGCCTGCCGGCAGGGCCTTCTCTTCCAGTTCTAGAGGAGCCGGTGACAGGCTCAGGGCACAGTCCCCTGCTCTGTTGTCAGCATCCTGCTCCCGCGACACTCAGGTTCCCACTAGGTCATGCCCCATTGAGGTCGGAGCTCCAGCCCCTGAGTCATCCCCTCCTTCCAAGGCCGAGACACAGTTTATGGGCTCTGAGGGCCCTCTGACCCCACTCCTCTGTCCACACCGCTGACGTGAGTGTGAACCCAGGGGGCCACCCAGCACCACCCTGTGGGCAGCAGCTAACTGTGCCGTCATAGCGAGTGCTGGGGAGAGGGCACAGAGGTTCCTGGGGATGCTGAGCTGAGCTGGAGAGAGCTGCCCATGCTCCGGAGCAGCCTCCCTGTAGCATTGCCCTTGACCCGGAGCGGTCAGTGGCCTGGCAGCCTTGCCTCTGTAGGCCCCATACATCAACGTGCCCGGAGCACAGCAGCGTCCAGGGGTGGGTGTTGGGGCCCCTGAACTGCCAAGCCTGCTGGAGCCCAGGGGCACCCAGTGCTCCCATACGGGTGCCACCCCCCATACCAGGGATGGTCTCCCTGCAGAAATCTGTCCTGCCTGCTCTGCCCCAGAGGGCACATGGACATCACCCCCTCACCATGCCCCAGCACTGGGTCTGGGTCTTGTCACCCGCCAGCTATGGCCCCATCTGGGGGCAGCGGGCCCTGCTTGGGAAGCTGCCCAGAGGGAGAGGCCAGGCTGTCTTCCTTTGCCCTGTGCTGACCACTTGGCCACCACGCTGTTCCCTGGAGTGTCCCGGCCAGGGCTGCTCCCCTGGGCGTCACTGCCCCTCCGCACTGCCTTGCAGCCTTCTCACCGAGCAGCGGGAACGGCCACCCTCCCAGGCAGCTTCAGCTGCGGACAGTCACCCGCAGCCTCCAGGACTGGCGTGGGGAGAGGACACAGCCTGGGCCAGAAGCTGGCCTGATGCCCAGGGCCAGCCAGCGGAGAGACACAGCCGTTCGGGCCAAGGTAACCAGGCTGGGCACTGGCATCTGGGGCCGACACAGTCATTTCCTCGGTTGCCCCAGCAACTTGGGGCAGCCCCAGGCTCAGGGTCAGACGGACCTGTGTCTCAGCATGCTTCGCCTGACATGTCCCCCAGCCCCCACCCGGCCTCTCCGTCCCTCTGCCTGAGCGCACAGTGAGCCCACCTGCAGGAGGGCCACCTGCACACACCTTGACGACCGTTTCCAGGCGCAGGCAGTGCGCTGGCGGGGAGGCCGCCAGAACCAGGCTCTCTAGCTGGAGGAGGCGTCCTCCATCCCCCACAGGCTCTGGCTGGGCAGTGAGGGGCAGGTTTGTGGTGTGCCGGGCCTCTGCAGCTGCCCTAACGCGTTGCCTGGTGCGGGTGGCCCAGGAGGGCAGGGATGTGATCTCTTACCGTTCTGGAGGCTGGAAGTCTGAAATCTGGGTGTAGGCGGAGCAGTGTTCTCTGCAGAGGCTGGGGGTGGGGGAGTCCTTCCTTGTCAGCCCAGCTCCCTGTGGCTCCAGGTGTCCCTTGGCTTGTGGCCGTCTCTGCCTGGGCCTCACAGCTTCTCCATCGTTGGGTCCAGTCACTGGGTGTGGGGCCCAGAACAATCTGGGTGAGCTCACTTGGAGATCTTCGATGGAGTGTATGAGGCCACATTTGCAGGTTCTGAGGGTTAAGACCTGGACCTGTCTTTAAAAGGGACAGCCTTCCTACGGCCCTCCCCAGACCCCCTAACAAGCCCCTTTCCTGGAGTTCCTACACAGGCAGCTGGGTTCAGCACCCCCCACCCAACCTAGGCTTCCAGTGTGTCAGGGCACCTCCAGCTGGGGAACTGCGCAGGGCTCAGCCATGCTCGCTGGACGCCCCAGGCCCCCGGTGTTCCCCTGGGAAATGCCTCAGAACACAGTCTGGGAAGCACTGGGTGGAGTGTTGAGGGGTCTTGGAAACAGCCCCTTTGGGAGCTGCCGTGTCCCCAGGCACCGGGACCTGAAGGCAGCAGGGGCGGAAGAGATGGGGAAGGCAACAGGTAAATTTTACAACTGGGAAAAAAGGAATGTGCACAGGAGGGGGTCAGTAGTGTGGCTTTGGGGTCCCAGGGAAACAGGGGGCCTGGGGTGCAGGGAAAACTCCAAAGAGAAACCAGCAGGAAGCCAGCAGCATATTCGAGAATCTTCCTCAGAGACTAGCCCTACTTCCTCCGCAGTTCTGAGGACCCCTGAGCTCTGAGGGGTGTCCTCCAGCTCTGGGGTCTCACCTGAGTTCTGAGGGCTCTCCCCAAGTCTTGGGGAACTCCCTCAAGGTCTGAGGGGTACCCTCCGGTTCTGGGGGTCTCACTTTAGTTCTGAAGGATCTCCTCAAGTTCCTGGAACTCCCCCAAGCTCGGGGCCCTCCCCAAGGACCACTCAGAGCCACAGTCCTCAGGTCTGTGTATCTCTCAAAGCCCAGGGCACAGCCTCATGTCCCCCTGCCATGCCTTTGGCAAGCTGGAGGTTCCCAGGCAGGGCTGGACACCAGAGCTGGGGACAGATCTGCGTGGGTCGGGTGGAACGGCTCTGGGGGTCAAGGCCTCCAGGACAGCTGGTGACTGGTAGGTGGCCCAGGACTGGTGCTGGCTCTGACCAGGCTCCGGCTGCCTCTGCTCAGGACACTGTGCCCTGAGGGATGCCCTGTCATGGTCACTGGGACGCCGGAGCCCTTCTGCTTGATCCCCAACTCCTTGGCCTTCACCGGAGGCTGTGGGCAGGTGGGGGTTCCTTCCAGTTGGTGGAGGTTCCACAAATTGGCTTTAACCAAACTGCTCTGGTCCCTTCAGGCCAGTGGCCTTGGGAGCCTCGTAAAGCCCTGGGCCTGGGGGTCCCAACACCTGCCAGGCCCCAGGGTGGAAGGAGGCATAGGAAGATGGTGACACGGGTGTCAAAGTCCTGGCCTTGCTTGGCAAAGGCCCTACTGAGCCCCTTTGTCCCGATGATGTCCTCACTTCGCTGAGCTCCCGTGCTGTGGGTGACCACTACCAGGCCTGCCTGGCCCCTTCCTTGCCCTTCTCCGCCCAGGTCCTAGCAGGCAGGAGTGGCACTCCTCAGCCCCGCCCCTGGAGGCTGGACTTCCAGGCAAAAAAAGCAGCTACAGCAAAGGGTTTGCAAGTTGTGTGGTTGTTTCTCACTGAAGTAACATATGGAGACCTCTGAACCTCAGATGGTTTTTCCAGAAGGGTTTTCTGGGGCTTCATATCAGTGATTATCTAATAACAGCATAATTTTAGGAGCAGATAACTACATATTTTTATGTCCTCCCGTTAACCAAATACAAATAGATTTTGCAGCTATTTTGAATTCTGAGATTGGTTTCACAAGGCTTGAGGATTCCTGGACCCTGTGGCCATCGGTGCTGACAGTGCCTTTGCCTCACAGGAGACCCCCTGACCAACCCCAGACCCTCGTCAGCAGAGACGATCCAGTCGGGGACAGATAAACTCGCCCGGAGCTTCCAGGGTCGGCACGATCCCCGTGGAGGGGGTCGCTGTGGCCCTGGGGAAGCCGGAGTAAGTGGAGACTTGGCCCTGAACCTTCTGCAGGCTGAGTAGGGCCTGGCCTTGCTTTGTGGGGCTGGCTGTGTGACTTTGGGGGTGGGGGGGGGACGTTTCATAGCCACGTGGCTTGGGTTGCATCTCATCCACCAGTGAGGGTGTTGATGGGTTGCGGCCTCTCCCGCCCTTCCTGGGTGGGCTTGTCTGTTGACAGGTCTTTGGAAGTCACCGGGAGGAGGGGTGTCTAGTGAGTGGGGGTCTCCATGGTCCTTTTTAGGGGGACTGCCTTTATTCCTTACTGATTCCAGCCTCACTGGGTCACAGAGGCTTTATCCACAGGTGGGGCCGGGGACTGGTGCCCTGCCGATGAGGCCCGCCCTCGCTGCTCATTGTCCAACCCACTTCCAGCAGGTCGTCAAAGTTGGCATGAGTCAGGATGAGTCAGAATTAGGGCTGGATGTTGCCAGCAGCCCCATGGAGGAGCCCCACAACATGGAAAGCCAGCGGTCAGGGGAGCAGAGGTATGGGGCTGGGAGGGCCACAGGCTGGTGGGACACTCAGGCAGGGTCAGGGCTCTGGGGCATGAAGACGGTTCCACCAGCACTTCCTGTCCTCTCAGTGAGGAGCCTCCTCTCTCCCTCCTGCTGTCCCTCGTCCTGTCCTGGGCCTGCTGTCCACCCCCAGCCCACACCCGTGCCCTCCTGAGTCCTGGAAATGGTGTCACCTGGTGAATCGGGCCAAGAGCTAGTGGTGGGGACAGCAAGAGGGGCCCCTCCAGGGAGCACTCTCCTCCCCTGCTACCTGGTCCAGTGGGCACTCAGGCTAGAAGCCCCAAAGGTGGGGCCCTCGTCCCCACGCAGGGAGCCGTGCCTTGATGGTCGCCTCCCTAGGACACACATGAGAGGCAGACACGTTTCAGAGATTATAGGGGAGTTGGAGGCCCCCTGAGGCGACCCTGCACCCCAGCAAGGAGGTGGGGAGGATGGGGCTCCTCCTAAGGGCTCCCCAGCACTTTTCTGTGAACATGCTTGCAGGATAGAGACCTGTTGGCAGGAAGACCCCCGAGATGCCATCTCCTGGCAGGAAGCTGCCCTGCTGCCTGCCTCTCCAGGTGATGCCCCACCCCTCAAGGGCCCCCGGCCTTGCACAAGGACCCCAGTCCCCACTTAAGGGGCATCCACGACCAGCTTCTAAATCAGAGCCAGCCTTCTCCTGTGGCCCCTCCCCACCCCTCCATGTCACAGGTCCCCAAGCAACAGGTGAATGACTGTAGGCAGATTCCCTGTTGGAGCCATCCGTGTCTCACACGGGAACAATACGAGGCAAAGCCAGCCACCACCCACTCTTTGAACAGGTGCAGTTCTGAGACCAGGTGCCTGAGATGCAGAAACGCCACCCTGGCACAATTAACTCAGTGGGGGCTGAGCTGGATGATTCCAGGGGTCCACCCTGCCAGCGCTGTGCACACCCCTCCCGCCTGTCTGGGGTCTTTGGTCTGTTGGCCCAGGGCCCTCTGTACATGCTGTTTGAGGTCTGCAGGGTGACAGAGTGAGGACCCACAGTGTCTCCCCATGTGCCCTGGCATCCTCTCAAACACCCCGGTGTCCTTCAGACACCCCAGCATCCCCTCAAAAGGCCCCAGCATCTCCCCAAATGCCCCTCTCTCCACAGTTCGTGCACCAGCTGAGGAGGTGTCGCCGCCAGCCCAGTGCAAGGACACCTGCCTGCCACAGTGCACGGCCCCCCTGGACCTGGCCTCTGAGTCGGAGCCTGCTCCCGGGACCTGCTCAGGACCTTGGGCACGGTCGCCTGCCTCCTCCGTGGGCTCCACCAGCAGCTTGTCCTGTCTCTCTCTCCCGGAGTTTCAGAAAGCGTCTGCTGTCCTGGTCCAGCTTTCCGGGAGTTCGGTCTCACTGTCGGACTGGGAAGCTGGGGAGACCCCAGACACAGACCTCGGTTGGTCAGGGGAGCTCTCTGCTCCAGACTCCTGGGGGGTCCCCAGGGGCAGAGGGCAGGTGACTTGGGAGACGTTAGAGGGTGGTGGGGCCCATCCCCCGTGTGGCTCCCCCACGGTGGCCAGGGGCCCAGCGCCAGCGCCAGGTGGCCTGTGGGCAGGTAAGTCGCTGCCTCTCCCCGGTGCTACCGCTGAAAGGTCAGGCTCAGAGTTGTCAGTGGCGTCCAGCGAGGTCTGGGATGAGGAGGGCCTGCTGGAGCCTGGCGCTAATGCCCTGCCTGCAGGAGGCTCATCCCGCCTGGAAAGTGGCAGGACGTTCGGTGCGGTGCTTCCCTCCTCGGGCCCAGGGAAGGGGCAGGAAGCTTCTGGAACCAGTGGGAGCCTGACCAGTGGATCAAACCTGGGAAAAGCCAAGTGGAGATCCCCCGAGGCTGCCCACATGGCATTCCCGGCCAAGGCTGCCTCTTCTGATGGCTTAGACCTGTCCCCTTCCCTTCCTTTGGGGTCTTCAGCAGCCAAAGGGACGGATTTGGGCAGAGGAGGGGAGATTAGGCCCCCTCAGACCTCGGCTGGCTGCCCAGAGGGCCCCTGGGATGCTGACCTGAGACCACCCACTGGCAGGAAGCCCCTATGGGCCTCGCCTGAGCCTGGGGTCCCCGTGAGCCCGAAGGCTCCTCCTGGGGACCTGGGAGGGCTGGCACCCCTGACTTCTGAAAGCCGGGCGCCTGGGGGTGGGGGCAGTGGAGCTGCACCCGTGCCAGAGGAAGCCTGGCCTGAGATCCCGTCCCCTGTAGACGAGGTGCCGTCCCACGTCAGTGCCAACCTCCCACCGTCCACCCACAGGGTCAGCCACCTCCCTCCCCCACCTCCACCTCCCCCCCTCCCAGCAGAGAGTGAAGCCGGTACCGCCAGTCCCCACTCAGAGGACTTCCCTTCCCCACCCGAAGGTGCCATGTGGCCCGGGGGCTTGCTGAGTGCCCCAGAGGAGGATGCCTCTATCAACATCAGCAGGTTGCCCTCCTTGTCCAAAGACAACGTACCTGAGGCGCTGTCCCCAGGGACCCAGAAGTTGGGGCTCTGCCTGGGGACAGGAGGACAGGGTGGAAGCCTTGGGGACAAACTGGGTGAATCAAGTTCTGTTGGGGGTGCCCAGGCCATGGGTGGCCAGTGGTCTGACTGGCCAGGGCCTCCCTTGTGTGTGAGGGCAGGCCATGCCCCAAGGCGGCTGGCAGCCCAGTCTCCGACCCTGTCCAGAATGGTGATGTTAGTGGCTGGTGACACAGGGCTGTGTGGCCCCTGGCCAGGGAACCCACCTCCTGCTTTGGGCACAGACCTCGGCACCCATCCCCCCGGCATGGAGGGAGCCTCCGTGGTAGATTTGGTCTCCACCCAGCTCACCAGAAGGATCCTTTGCGACTCGCTGGCTGCACTGTCAGAGCTGGCCGGGCTGGGCAGCCCGCTGGTGGAGGGTCTGGCAGGTGCCAGCATGTCCCCGAGGCTCACACAGCAGCCACAGGGCAGCCATGTGGAAGACTGGACTTCTGAGAAGACAGTGGAGGGCCCACAGTGACATGTGGACATCTGTGACTTGGCTGGATAATAGTGTGTGTGCGTGCCAGTGTGCACATGTGTGCAAGGCCTTTCCCAGGGTAGAGCCACATTCAGAATGTAGCTGGCCGTGCAGGCGGTCACTGATGTGGGGCTGTAGATCGGACGGAGACCTGCTGACACCAGCTGCAGATCAGTCGGCCTGCACTTCTGTGTGGGCGTGTTCAGGGGCCCGTGGCCAAGACAGGCCACTGACTTGAGGGCCAAGGAGCTGGGAGGGCAAGCACCTGGCGCCTGGCCACAGGGACCTTGTGCCAGGATGGGTGCCCTCAGCAAAGGCCAGGAGAGCAGGGAGAGGCTGCCCTGGGCAGACGGTTGGGAGGCACGTCGGCACTGAGTTGCCCTCAACTGCACTTGGGAAGTCATGAGTGGGGCGTTTGCTGTTTGGACTCCCAAAAGCCAAGGACTGGGATGCCCTCACCATGGCTGCCGTTACCTGTGTTCTTGTGTTCGGGGTGACTGCTGAGTGGGCCTCTCATACAGATTAGAGGAAGTGGCAACTCAAGGTCCGAGGCCCCTTTACCCTCAGCCAGCCAGCCCTCAGCCTGTCCTCTGGGGCTGGTGAGCCAAGGCCCCCCCCCAAATGTGTTTGGGACTCCTTCTCCAGGAGACGAGAGCTGGTTCCTGGTGGGCCATGTGTGTGGAATGAGCCTGGGTGACAGCGCGGATGCAGAGCAGAGCTCTCAGGCACTGGCAGGTGGGCTTCTTGCCCAGAGCACCTGCTCAGCACCGACGCTCAGTGGGAGTCGAGGAAACACGTGTGGATTCAGCATGAAGCGGATTTGGGGGAGGAGGTTGGACTGGAAGATGGACTGGGACGCCTCGAGGGTGCGGCCCCATGGGGCCCGGGGTCTTGGCAGGCCGGGGCCCGCCCTACCCAGAGCAACACTGCAGCCATAGCCACACGGGGCCTAGGGACATGAGGCTGGGTGGCTTGTGTTGGAGCCAGGGTGGGAGCAGGTAGGAGCCTGCACTCCCAGGAAGTCACTGGGAGCCCCGTGCTGCTGCTCCTGCCTCACGGGCTTTGCCCGGCAGAGCTGTCCTGAGGAGGGCTGTATTGTCCTAGTATTTTCAGTATTTTATCCCAAATGACATCCGTATGCTTGCAGACGTGGCTTTTAAATTAGCCCAGCAGATATAAATCCAAGCATAAATGGTCACTGATATATGATGAAGGAGCCATGGACATACAATGGGGAAATAACAGCCTCTTCAGCAGCTGGTGTTGGCAAAACTGGACAGCTACATGTAAGAGAATGAAACTGGATTATTGTCTAACCCTGTACACAGAAGTAAACTCAAAATGGATCAAAGACCTGAATGTAAGTCATGAAACCATAAACGCTTGGAAGAAAACATAGGCAAAAATCTCTGGAATATAAACATGAGCAACTTTTTCCTGAATGCATTTCCTCGGGCAAGGAAAACAAAATAAAAAATGAACAAATGGGACACATCATGCTAAAAAGCTTCTGTACAGCAAAGGACACCATCAAGAGAACAAAAAGGCATCCTACAGTATGGGAGAATATATTCATAAATGACATATCCGATAAGGGGTTGACATCGAAAATATACAAAGAGCTCACATGCCTCAACACCCAAAAAGCAAATAACCCGATTAAAAAATGGGCAGAGGGTATGAACAGACACTTCTCCAAAGAAGAAATACAGATGGCCAACAGGCACATGAAAAGATGCTCTACATTGCTAATAATCAGGGAAATGCAAATTAAAACCACAGTGAGATATCACCTCACACCAGTTAGGATGGCCAACATAGAAAAGACTAGGAACAACAAATGTTGGCGAGG